AGTGGCCAACTACTGGCCAAAGGACATTTAATATAATGACAAGTTTTTTAAACTTTGTGTTTTTTAAAATACATTACAACTGTACCTTTGGTTTGCTCCTGATACGATAAATAAATAAATAGAGGAAGACAATCTTGCCAAGAAAACAGCATGAAAAGTTTGCCTTGGAATCACCACAAGTCCAAAGTGATTTGAAGGCACACCAAAACAACAACAAGATGTAGAGCAACAACTGTCCTGGGGAAAACTTCTCAAAACTGACTTTTCCCTCTTTGCCTTGCCTTGTCTCTCCTTACCGTTGGTGTTTGGATGCGTCCAAGTAGTAGCTGAGGTGATGTGTAAGGGGCATTCATTAAACACCTTCTTGAAAAGTGCTCGGTCCTACAAAGAGAGGAAGGCGACAGTCATTCAAGGGAAGAGAGTGTCCAAGATGGACGCACCCAACCACCACCACCCTATTGCATTCACTACCACCATCTCATCATCTGACACCTTGCATTGTTACATAAATCAATAACTTACAGATTGTGATGCTGGTTTTGTTATGTGTTGTTTCTTGACTCTTAATCCATGATGTTCTGTTTTCACAAGAGACAATCTCATGCACACAAAATCATTTGCTGCACAAAACACCTACATGAAATTTTTGTGCAGAATAAGTCCTAAACTGCAATCAATCTTTGAAATCTATGCAATTTGTAAATATTGCATAGCCTTCGCGAGATACTGTGACCGTACCTCGTGAAGGCTGATTTGGCCGGGGTGGTCCATGCCTTGGTCACCTCTAGATTGGACTATTGTAATGCACTCTACGTGGGGCTGCCCTTGAAAATGGCTCGGAAATTTCAACTGGTCCAATGGGCAACTGGCGCTCCTTACAGAGAGAGGTCAACCCTTCTGTTCAAGGACCTCCACTGGCTGCCGTTTATTTTCCGAGCCCAATTTAAGGTGCAGGTGCTTACCTACAAAGTCCTGAATGGTTTGGGACCATCCTACCTGCGTGACCGCATCTCCGTTTATGAACCCACGCGTGCACTTCGTTCATCCGGAGAGGCCCTGCTCGTGATTCTGCCCGCGTCGCAAGTGCGTTTGGTGGAGACACGAGACAGGGCCTTTTCTGTGGTGGCCCCCCGACTCTGGAACACCCTCCCAAAGATCTTAGACAGGCCCCTACATTGGCAGTCTTCAGAAAGAACTTGAAGACCTGGCTGTTCCGATGTGCCTTCCCAGAATAGGAAATCTCCAATACCAAGTCCCAGAAGCACTTTATTAGAACTAAGATTGCCACACACTGCACACTGCACTTACCCTATAATCCTTATATACCACCTGTCACATCAGCACTTTTAATTCTGTACCCATTACTCTGGCCCGGCCCAGTTTTATTGTGTCTTAATGTATTGTTTATTGCTTGTTGTTATATTGCTTTAATTGTTTTAATTTGCTTTAGGTTTTGTATTGTTATGTTGTGTATTGAGGCCTTGGCCTTTGTAAGCCGCATCGAGTCCTTCGGGAGTTGCTAGCGGGGTACAAATAAAGATAATAATAATAATAATAATAATAATAATAATAATAATAATATTTTTTGAGATGAGCCATTTCTAGATTAAAGAAGATCTCAAAATTAGACCTCTTCTTCAGTCTAGTTAGCAAAAGGTTTTAAACACATGCTCTCTTTATGTTACTAAGTACCTACATTTCTATGCAGACATAGAGTAGAAGGTTTGGGCTCCTTCGCTTTTGCAACCAGCAGAAAACCATAACTTACTGCAAATTTCTGTATAGAGTAGTCAAACAAACAAACCACAGCCTGTAACTTTGGAGACTTTATTTGCAAAGTTGTCCTTGAAATAACCTGTTGGGCTACTGGAGTAAAATGCCCTTCTGTTGTGAGTTGATTTTGCTGATGAGGAAAGGATGCTCCCTTTCAGAACAGATGTGTGATAAATACAAATATGGATGCTCAATACACTCACTGCTTTCTCTTTCTTCTCCGGTTTTGGTGGAAGGATGGGCGGCTCCTCAGTTGGGGGAATGGGGCGCAATTCAGGGACTGCAAATTAGTAAGAAATGTCAGAATAGTGTTAGTAGCCCACAGAATGTCTCAGCCACTTTTACTTTTAGTGTGATAAAAAATCAAAAGATACACGAGTCTATTGCTTTAAGTAGAAACAAAAAATATAGTTCTATTCACTGTAGATCCAAAGCACAAAGCAAAGCAGAAGAATTGTTCTCACCAATATACAACACACAATATCTCCGGTGAGTCCTCTTCTTTACATGAGAATATGCAAACAAATACAGTCTCTCTACTTAGTTACCAGTAAAATGTCCTATCTTGCCATATCCCCTGTTTGGGTATCAGCCAGCACGTCAACGACTTAAATCTAGAAATAGTTTTCTAAGATCTACAGAGAGACACTCGCTGGAACACCTCAGCAAGTGAGAGTCCAAAAGTGGCAGGCTCAAACCCAGAACCTCAACCAATGGCTGATACCAAATGAGAGACTCCCCCCTGGGCACACAGAAGACTGGGCGACTTGGAAGGCGCTGAACAGACTGCGCTCTGGCATCACGAGATGCAGAGCCAACCTCAAGAAATGGGGCCACAAAGTGGAATCCATGACATGCGAGTGTGGAGAAGAGCAAACCACTGACCACCTACTGCAATGCACCCTGAGCCCTGCCACATGCACAATGGAGGACCTTCTTGCAGCAACACCAGAAGCACTCCAAGTGGCCAGATACTGGTCAAAGGACATTTAATCAACTACCAAACTTGCAAATTTTGTGTTTTGTCTGTTTGTTTGTTTGTTCTGTTAGAAATGTAATACAGTTGACTGGTTGCCCTGACACGACAAATAAATATCTTGCCATAAACAAGCAGCTTCCTTGCCACTCCAAACAGATTCAGTTTTCAGCTTCAAGACACTGCGTAACCGCTCCCAGAAAGAGCCAAAGGTTTCTTCAGCTCAAGCAAGCCATCAAGCTAAACCAAATGCAAAGCTCAAAGCTTGCAAACCTAGTGCCTTGTTATATGCTGAAGCAGATAACACACCCAATTAACTTGTGGCAGTTGAAACAGAAAAGTTTCTGATCCTCCCTGTTACTTAGAGAAGGCCTGTTGTAAACCTCTAGTACAGTGGTTCTCAACCTGTGGGTCCCCAGATGTTTTGGCCTTCAACTCCCAGAAATCCTAACAGCTGGTAAACTGGCTGGGATTTCGGGGAGTTGTAGGCCAAAACACATGGGGATCCACAGCTTGAGAACCACTGCTCTAGTAGCAACAAGAAATCATGTCACCTCCCATGGTATTGGTTCCTAGAACAATGCTAGCCCAGATTTATCACACCATTGACTCTAGATCTGTGATTCTCAACCTGTGGGTCCCAGAAGTTTTGGTCTTCAACTCCCAGAAATCCTAACAGCTGGTAAACTGGCTGGGATTTATCGGAGTTGTAGGCCAAAACACCTGGCGACCCACAGTTTGAGAAGCACTGCTTTAGATCAAAGATAGCTCAGTGAAAGTATGATAGCTGGGACCAAGTGGTGGTAGTGTTACACTGGTTGCGTAACGCGGCTCTGAATTAGAGAAGGGAACACGTGTGCCAGAGACAGCACCACGTGCGCAAGAGACCACACACAGTGATAGACACAGCTATGACAGAGTTGACAAGGTAGTTCAGTAGAAAGGTGGGGGGGGGGGGGACGACAGCCAAGCATACTGATGTAGGCTATCCGGAGATATTAAAAAACGTTGCATTGGAAGGAAGGATAAAAAGGAGGGGAGAAATACAAGGAGTGGTGAAAAATGAATCCAATCCAGTCACTCTCACATTACTTCACTGTTATCCTGTCCCACTTGCATTACATTACTTCATTGGGTCTAAACACCACTGGAGAAATTACACTGCTTAGCCAGTATTGCACCACCTGACATCCGCCGGGAAGTGGCAGCCAATAGTGAAAGGACCAAGGCAGAGACATCTCCAGCTCATCCCCTGTTTGGGTATCAGCCAGCACGTCAACGACTTAAATCTAGACATAGTTTTCTAAGATCTACAGAGACACTCGCTGGAACACCTCAGCAAGCGAGAGTCCAAAAGTGGCAGGCTAAAACCCAGACCTCAACCAATGGCTGATACCAAATGAGAAACTCCCTCCTGGGCACACAGAAGACTGGGCGACTTGGAAGGCGCTGAACAGACTGCGCTCTGGCACCACGAGATGCAGAGCCAACCTTCAGAAATGGGGCTACAAAGTGGAATCCTCGACATGTGAGTGTGGAGAAGAGCAAACCACTGACACCTGCTGCAATGCACCCTGAGCCCAGCCACATGCACAATGGAGGACCTTCTTGCAGCAACACCGGAGGCACTCCAAGTGGCCAGATACTGGTCAAAGGACATTTAACCAACTACCAAACTCACAAGTTTTGTATTTTTCTGTTTGTTTGCTTTGTTCTGTTAGAAATGTAATATAATGGACTGGTCGCTCTGACACGACAAATAAATTGGGTCTATCACTGCGTCTATTACTTGGTGCACTGTCTCACGCACGTGTTGCCTTCTCTAATTCAGAGCTGCGTTGCGCAACCAGAGTAGTGCTACCTGCACTGGGTCCCAGCTATCATACTTTTACCGATATATGAGAATTACAACCCTGATCAATGTTTAACAACAATGGTACTTTTTCCGCTGCCTTTGAGGACATTGTACCTGATCTGGCAGAGATGTGGGATCCCTCGGCTGCCATTGGAGAAATTAGTTGTGGAGGCCTGCTTGTGACAGGTCCACTGGAACATCTTCCCCGGAATATGGGCTTGGAAGGACACCTTGCGGCCGATCGCCCCGCCACTGTCTCATCTGATGTGGTCCTGAGTTTAGGCTGCAAACATGAAAGCAGAGATGGTTCATTTCAAACAATGGTGAAACACTCCCATGCTTCTAAGGCAGACATGGGCAAACTTTGGCCCTCCAGGTGTTTTGGACTTCAATTCCCACAATTCCTAACAGCCTACCGGCTGTTAGGAATTGTGAGAATTAAAGTCCAAAACACCCGGAGGGCCAAAGTTTGCCCATGTCTGCCTTAGAAGCATGGGAGTGTTTCACCATTCACTGGCTGTTAGGAATTGTAGGAGTTGAAGTCCAAAACACCTGGAGGGTCAAAGGTTGCCCATTCCTGATCTAAAGTGACCAAAAAAATTCTGTCCATGCTGTTGTAGGTGGTTGTGGAAGGGATTTTAGGCTCAAAAATGTTTAAAAAGTTATTTACAGCTGTTCCTGCTATTCAAAACAAAGTTTCCCTGGGCCTAAATTTTTCCGAATTTATTCCTAATTACGAAGATTCTGACTGGACCTAACCATGTTTAATATATACCTTTGGCTATAGCCAAAGTCCTAACAGCTGTGTGAAGTTCCGAAACTGCTGCACAGGTGCATCACAATACCGTATGTGTGCATTTCACAAAGACCACGAAGAAAGAAACATAAGATTCTCTAGGGGCCCTTCCATACTACACAATTACAGAGCTATGATTCCGCCTTAACTGCCAAGACTGCATCCTACTGAAATCTGGAGTTAGTTGTTTGGAAAGGTGGGTTGAGATGTCTCTTCTTAAACTCCAAATCTCCTGACTTGTGCATTGAGTGAAGGATGAGTGAAGAACAATTAATATATTCGTATCTCACTTGGCTCCCAACAGTTACTTACCTTTGGAGGCAGTGGAGGTGGAACATTCACAGATAAAGATTCACTGGGAGGGAAAAGAGGTCAAAATCATGAATACATTGCCAGCCTTTCTCTCCAGACTAGCGTAACTTTTCCAGTAAAATGCCACATTGCAAAGAAAAGTATAAAATTGAAATAGCCCCCTCCCCACTTCTAAGGGAGCTCCCAGTGGCGCAGTGGGTTAAACCGCTGAACTGCTTAACTTGATGACCGAAAGGTCACATTTTCGAATATGGGGAGTGGTGTGAGCTTCCGCTGTTAGCCCCAGCTTCTGCCAACCTAGCAGTTCGAAAACATGCAAATGTGAGTAGATCAATAGGTACCGCTCCAGCGGGAAGGTAACAGTGCTCTATGCAGTCATGCTGGCCAAATGACCTTGGAGGTGTCTATGGACAACACCAGCTCTTCGGATTAGAGATGGAAATGAGCACCAACCCCAGAGTCGGACACAACTGGACTTAATGTCAGGGGGAAACCTTAACCTTGACCTACCCACTTCCAGAGACAAAGTGGCAACGAGCCTCATCCCACACACCAACAAAAGAAAATCTGACCCTGAGATGCTGATCTTTGACTTGCCTGGAGGGGAAATTGTGTCTTTTGGGTCTATATTTATATATATATATATATATATATATTATTTTTTAAAAAAAATAGAAGAGTTACCTGCTTGCGTGACGTCTGCTGGGGCTAGAAGACAGTAATGAAGATATGTCCCATGCCAAAAAAGAAAAAGAAAAGAAAAGAAAAATAGGGATAAGCTGAGAGAATGAACTCAAGGAGACATAATTATAAAATAAATTTTCACGAAGAGTGAATTAAGGGCCCCTGAGACATTTTATTTTGAGGAGTACTTCCTAATTCTTCCGCACACTGCTGGAAGGTTTTATGGTGTCATAAATTAGTTAAATTAGCCTCCCCACGTAAAGCGGTACCTACGTTTCCTACTTGACAGATGCAACTGTCTTTCGGGCTGTATAGGTCAACAGCAAGCTAGACTATTAATGGTTGGGAGCTCACTCCAACCCGGGCTGGCTTCGAACGCATGGCCTCTCGGTCAGTAGTGATTTAATGCAGCTGGCCACATGACCTCTCGGTCACAGCCAGCTGCATTAAATCACTACGGACCGAGAGGTCATGAGTACGAAGCCAGCCTGGGTCAGAGTGAGCTCCTGACCATTAATAGTCTAGCTTGCTGTTGACTTATTTATTTATTTATTTATTTTATTATTTAAACTTATATGCCGCCACTCCCCTGGGGCTCGGAGCGGCTTACAAGGATGGCTAAAATCTAACTTACCTTTTGAGGCTGTGGAGGTGACT